ATTTTCCCTCCTTTGTTTCACATAGGATAAAAACCACTACAGACACATCCAGTGGCAAAATCCAACACTGAATGCATCTGCCTGAAGCCATTTCACTCTTGCCTTCCATAAGAGAAAAGGAAATAATTTGACAGAAATTAAATCACCCACTTTTCTAGAGTGTTCAACAAAAATGACCACGAGGGCTTGAGTCATTTCAAAAATAAAAGATAGCTCACCCTACAGCCAATCCCCATCTCGCTCTCCTTGCCCACCTAAGATGAGGTTATACAGTAACCACCATTCCAAGACAAAACTTCTGTCTGCAGTGCTTCATCACTAGTGCCCCTTTTCATGGGAACATCGGGTAGTGGCATATTGGCACTATGGAACTATCATCTATTGGCACTATGAACTGTGAAATATTGGCCCAGGGACTGCCCAGCTGTACAGGCTCCAGCTGCTGAGGTAGCTTCTATCCCTTTCTGCACCACGTCCCACCAGCCACTTCTAGACAGGATCACCTGTATGTTCTTTCCCTCCTCTAGGTACAAGAGGATGCTACTCATGTCCTCCTCTTTCATGTTCTCACCATCAATGCACACCACCACCCAAGAAGCAAACTGACATCACCTTTAGTTTCTCTGCTAGCACAAGTCTCCTCTTCTTTAAGATACGGAACCATGATACATGACACGTTGCACTGCACACTACCCACACTGCTCTTCCCCTTTCTTTATCACCTACAAAGATCTGTAGGAAGGGCCACTACTTCTTCTGATTGCAGCAGATGGCAAGGCACAGCAATGTAATCTTAGCACTGCATTTAGGTGAAGTGCAGAATTGCCTCACAGTGTTAACATCCTCTTGTCCCCACACCCATCTGTGCTGGTTTTCTTCCTAGTAGCTGGTATGCTACTGTATTTTGCATTTAGGATCAGAATAATGTTCATAACACACTGATGTTTGAGTTGTTGCTGAGCAGTGCTTACATGAAATCATGGACTTTTCAGCTTCTCATGCTGCCCTGCCAGTGCACAAGAAGCTGGGAGAGGATGCAGCAAGGATGGCTGACTCAAACTGGCCAAAGGGATATTCCATACCATATGACAGCATGCTCACCACATAAAGCTGGGGGAAGAAGGAGGAAGGGGGGGGACATTCAGAGTTCTGGCATTTTGTCTTCCCAAGTAATGGTTACACATGATGGAGCCCTGCTTTTCTGGAGATGGCTGCGCATCTGCCTGCAAAGGGAAGTGAGGAATGAATTCCTTGTTTTGCTTTGCTTGCACATGTGGCTTTTCCTTTACCTATTAAACTGCCTTTATCTCAACTCAAAAGATTTCTCAATTCTGCTCTTCAGAGTCTCTCCCCCATCCTACTGGGGGGAGCGAGGGAGTGGCTGCGTGAGGCTGAGTTGCTAGCTGGGGTTAAACCATGACACCATCCCACCATCACTACTTACAAAAATGCCATCGTATGCTATTGTCTTGTTCTCCACACCTAGAACATAGAATGGTTTGGGTTGGAAGGAACCTTAAAGATCATCTAGTTCCAAGCCCTCTGCCATGGTGGAGGTACCTTCTCCATATCTTCTGATTCTCCTCACTTCCCCACTCTCCTCTTTTTCTCTTAGTAATATAAGAGATGGAGACTGCCACAAACTAGAGACTCTATGCCTGGGTTTCATTCTCCTAAAATGTCTGTAAGCTATCCTATGTATACACACACACACACACACATATATATATACACACATATACATATGTCTGTCTGTATATACCTGTAGCTTTCTTCCATTCTCAAGCTTTAATCCAGAATTAAGGATTCTGTATTAATCCTGACACCAAGATGGTAGAAGTTCACAAAATATTAAAAATAATGAGATAACCTGTTCATAAAATACAGGGCTCGAAAAAGGACACAGAGAGTCTTCAGTCACAGAAATAAACTGAAAGATGCAACATCAGCAGCTCTTTTAAACCCAACAGGTTAAATTTGAAACATCATTATTTCTTGAAAGAATTATTTTGAAGAATTCATTATTGAGGAAAGTACTGAGTTTTATGTTCACAGCTCTACAGCTAGATTTCTTAAATTAAGCTCATTTCCTTACCCCCATCCTTCCACTCCCATAAATATCAGCTCATTATTTTAAAAATGCACAATGAATAAGAAAAAGGCAATTTAAGACGAGGCATTGTAAAAACTGACTGTGATGGGCATTCAAAGAATGAATCAGTACATGACTTCCCTGTTCTTTTACTCCTCCTTAAGCATCTGCTTTTGGCTACTTTTCTGATTTCTCCTTGATGCTTGACCCTAATGAAACCTCAGACCTCCTCAGGAAGTGGGGAGCTACAGGAAAAAAAGCCACAAAGAAAACAAGCGTTTCCAGTGCCACCTACCTGGCTTTGGTTAACCTTCATGCTCCAGTGCTGCTCAAATCACCTCATTTACTGAGAAATACAGCTTTAGACTTTCTGGTTATCATTAATAGCTGCTTTTACACAATATTGGTTTTCCCATTAAACTCAGAAAAATCACAAGTTCCTTGCTAGCAATCAGTTCTTCCCTCAGGCAAGACAGAGGCTATCTGCAGGAGGGAACCAGTGTTTGTCATGATGTCTGGAGAAACCTATTCTTCAACCCTGCAATGACTGTGGATTAAATTAGACCTGCCAATTTCTACCAAATTTCTGTTAGCATCATATTATTCTTAATTAGTATAACTGTTGCAAACGTATATAATAAAGCATATATCTAATTGGCTCAGTCTTTTGCAAGGTGTGCTCCCTGACTGACACACTCAGTATTAAAAAAAGACCACAGTATCATGAATGTAGGAAACGAATGGTCAGGATACCTGGGTGGAAAACAAAGACAGCTTCCTAGAGTAATATACTAAATAGGGTATTTCTTCTCTTCAAGTTTCACAAAGAAATATAGAGTTATTCTGGCTGGAATTACCTCAGAAGGTCATCCAGCGCTCACAGCAGGCTTAACACTGAATCCAGACCAGGTTGCTCATGGTTTTATCCAGTTTGGTCTTGAAAACCTCCAAGTATGGAAATTCACAGCCTCATGGGCAACCAGCTCCATTACTGAATCCAGCTGAATTACTCTGATAGTGAAAATGTTTTCCTTGTATAACATTGACTGATGTTAATTTATGTTGTATAAAGTTGAAATCTCCCATTTCAATTTGTCATTGTCTTTTGTCCTTCCAATATACACTGCTGTAAAAAGCATGGCTCCATCTTCTCAGTAATCTCCTTGTAGGTGTTGGATAGCTGCTGTTAGGTCCCTCCAATACCATCTCTTCTCCAGCCTTAACAAGCCCTGTTCCCTCAACCTCTCCTTACAGGACGAGTGCTCAGACTCACCTCTTGGGAGAGTCCAAAACTGGACACAGCATTGCAGATACGGTCTAAGGCGTGCCAAGTATAGGAGAAAAATCACCTCCCTCAACCTTCTGGCTCCTGTCCTGTTGATACAGTCCAGTCTGCTGCTAGCCTTCATTGTTTTGTGCTGATCAAGTATGAAGATGTATTTCATTCTCGGTTTCTTATTCAATCTTTGTCCCATTTGCTGACCCTGTCAGCACAGGTACCAAGTAACACCGAACAGCTGAACGTGAAAAGCAGAAGCACAAGATTTTCTGCCCAATTTTGCAGCCTGTCCTCACCTCATACAAACAGAAAATCAACTGCCCTGTCAGGATATTGCTTCCTCACATCATGTAAAATCATATAAACAACCTGTTAGGGTAGCAGAATTGCAATGACAATGTGAGTCTTCCATAGTCTTAGGCTGTTTCTCTCTATATCTGAGCTATAGCTATCAAACCATCCAAGCAAAGTCACCAGTTCTGTTACACCTTTTCTATAGTGCTCTAGTTGTTACTCTTTTTGCATCAGAAATTGTTCATCCCAGAAAATACCATGAGTGTGTGGGATTTTCTGGATGAATTTCAATGCAAAGATGTGGCCAGACATAGCATTATACAGCCAGAGTTTACCAGCCAAAGCGTACATTGTAACCAGGGGCACAAACAAAAGGGAGCTGCAAGAAGAGGCTCTATTTCAGTGAGAAAGCAGGGGTTTCCACCTAAAATGTGAGAAGCCAACAGTGCAACACGAAACACGAGATATTCTCAGTTCTCTTTCAGTTTATGAGCATAATATCAAACCTCCTCTACCTAACATGCCAACACAGTAATGAAAGATAAAAAGATAAGCAAGCCTAGCTCAGCCAAGATGACCAAGTACCAATGTATACATACTGCATATCTCTCTGCTTCAATAAAAATACTTACAGAATATATCAGTAATTTTTTTCACTAAAGTTTAAAGAGGAAAAAACATTAGGATTTTATCCAGCATACCTAGAAAAGGCTTCAATTCTTCAGAGGACTGCAGAAGTGGGATCTGAAGTTGGGTCTCTGAATCTTAACCTCTGAATCGCATGTGAATGCACTGCCAACCCTGTGGAACCCAGAATTTCCCACACATTTTTGCTGGCAGGCCCTGATGCTTGTGAGCATGTAGCCTGTCTGCTGTGATTGCCTGAAGAAAGCAGTCCTTGACTTATGAGCCATAAGAAAACATAGTAAGTATATATACCATAGTGTACTGTTTTACCCACCACCACTGTATCTAAACACTTAGAAAGCATCCCTCTATGAACACTTTACAGTGAAACTTTTGAATGCTCTACGAACTTTTCTGTATTTTCCTTTATTCAAGGAAAACATATTCAAATACCTTCTGTGAAAAGGAGTTCTTGCACAATTTTACAGCTGATGTACATATTTTTCATCAAATCTTGTCTGCATTCGCAGTTCTCTACTGGGATTAACAGCATATAATTTGAACAACAATAGTGAGGAGAAATACATAGTGATTTTAAAAATCAGAAACAGCACTTGTTTATGATAATATTTGCGGCTCTTCCATCTAAGTACCCACACAGATTGCACATACTCCCACCGAGATGGAAATTAATAATACGTGAAATACCTGTGCAGCTTGAGCGTCACAGTTCCATAAACAGTAGCAAAGCCCAGAAGACGAACCCATCTTAGGAGAACACAGCGAAACACACTTGGCTCAAAATACAAAATGACAACCTATAGAACAGAAAGATAGAGAGAGCTTCAGTACTGCTTTAATGCAAAAGTAGTTCTTCATTCAAATGCAGAATAGTTGCAAAACAGGACAGCAGACATATTTCAGCTCATACTGCTGTATATTTAGATTTTCTAGTAAAGTGATGGGATGATCAGATCAACCAGCTGGCACAGTTCTAGGCACCAATTCCTTTTGAAGGGAGCTGGCAAAAGCCCTGTGACAGACTGTGAAGTGACAACACTTTTAAATGCAATTCCACTGACTTTTCTTAACCGAGTGAAAACATGTACCCAGAGAAGAGGATAGTATAGACAAGGACACTTTCCTTGAGCTATTCCAGTAATATGCAGCTGGCCTAATTCCGGTTTGATGGACTGTATTTACTAGGTTACACTTCAAAGTCACTACTTCTAATAAACCTAGAAAATGATAGATGCTCATTTTTCTCTGCCAACTCTTCTGCCACACTAAAGATTACTGTACTAGCCTTTCTCTGTCCAAAACCTCAAAATCTCAATGTCATAATTTGACTCTTTCTTATTCTTTCCCATATATTTTCCCTAAACTATACATAATCTCTCTATGCATCACCACTTTCTTAATGAAAATAACCTTTTTGTTCACTGACTGATTTCTCTAATCACAACAAAAAAAAAAGGTCCTATTGGACATTTTGCTCTATCTACCAAGTACCATGCATGAGAACACCACTCAATAAACAGTAACATAAAGCTACTTCTGCAGGTATAGTGCGTATAAAAGGATCATCACCAAGTAAAATGCCACCCTTATTTAAAACAGGGCTGCTCAAATGGTGGACTCAGTCACCAGATCTGAACCAGGAGTCCATTTCTTCTTGTTTCAATAGACGTTGTCCCTAGTGGCCTAAGGGATGCTACCATATTCTTTCTCACTCATCCAGCCCCACCAGCAGCCTGCTGTCCCAGGGATTTGGCTGTACACTGCCCTCACCTCACCTGCAGACCCAGCTTGGTCCACAAAGCCAGATCCAGTACATCCCACCCATCTAACCAGAACCTGGTAAAACAATCCAATGCACCATAGTACAAATTAATTGGGTAATCCTGGTGTAGAGAAAAAAAAAGCACTGAAACATTTCAGGCCATCTGCCACAGCTTCATTTAGAGTCAGTACATTCTGGCAGTAGAGGTAGTATTGTGTCTACCGGCTGCCACATGATATTATTTTCCTAAGTAAATGCTTTTCTATGTGGGAATTCAAGACCAGGATATTGGCCAAAAGCCCAGGACTACGTCCTTTGGGTGACATAGACATATTTAGGAGAGTGGGGGCAAAAATGGCAGACATGTGGGCTGAGAGAGATAGAAGAAGCTGCTATGCTTCACTGGCATGTTTCTTTAGAGCAGAATCAAGCTATTTCTTCAAAAACATGGTTTGTTGAATCAAATCATGGTTCAAAATTTAATCTACTTTTATCACTGTTATTGGACTGACATGTTTCAAGGTGGACATTCTGCAGGAATCTGGCAAATTCTGCATGTAGGGAAGGGAACAGCATGCAGAAAAAAGCCCAATTCTCCTTGGAAAATCAGCTGCAAAACCAAAATGCATCCACACACACACATGAATATGCTTGTGTAAATAGAGTATCCAGCAAGAAGTTTCTCAGAAAGACCTGAATGATAGTAATGACCTGTTATCCTAATATACAGTTATACATACTAGGACAGTTGCAGAACCAGAGCAAAGTCTGTATCACTAACCTGCCTCTTGAGGTTTGCCAGGGAGTAGAAAACACCCTGTTTCATCTTTGATTCTTCCCAAATAGAAAAGCAATGTCAAAAATGACTGGAATACAGAGACTCCAAACATTTCAAAGTCTATCTGAAAGCGGAATTTTCCAAATTATTGACATGGGAAGGTCTGAAAAGTTTCCAGGCATAGAATTTTCTGAACAAGGGCAACAGCTCTCTTTGCCGTGCAATCTGACACAGCAATTTTATCTGCAGTTGCTTGTTGAAATATTAAATGCTTGTGTCTAGAAAATCTTATTGATTTGCATTGAATCATTTGTATGAGCAGCTGAGGCATTTGGCTAGCTATCAACCAAGAAAATACCACTTCAAATGCAGCATGGTGTGAGCTGGCATGTGGCAGTCCACCGTGAAGGATGCAGAGGCAAGGTTCTGTTGGCAAAAACTGGTCTCATTTTCCCATTTGAACACAGACGCTTTTTAACTACTCTGTCGCCCAGTGGTCAAGTAGATTGCAGACTTGATCCAAGTTTTATTTCCTTTTGGGTCCTCCTTGTGTTTATATGATGGAGAATAGTTATAATGCCCTCCCAATGGCCAACATCCATTTCTACCTATTCTTCCGTAACTCGCATATGGTCTGGCATGGACTAAGGCTTTGAACAGCAAGAATTGCTATACTTATGTTTTGCTTGCTTTTTAGGTTTTCCAGAAGGGTTATTCTAAGAAAATGTCATTCTCATTCCCATCAGGGCTCACCGGGATGTTCAGGTGACTGTCCCCTCCAAGCTCTTGTAAGCATTAAGTCTCTTATAAGCACAGTGAATTTTAGTGGCACAATTTTAAAACTGAATAATCTTTAATGGCTTGGAGCCAAGGGCTACAGAAACACTACCCTGGAAGCTCAGTACACCTAAAGACATGCTCAAGTCTTTCATCTTAGTGGAATCACATTCTCTCAAAGAATATATATCTGGTGAAAAGCATGGCTGCTGCACTCCATCCCTCACTTTTCCTAGCTAAAAAACAAACAAACAAACAAACAGAACACAGAGAAGTCTTGGTTTTGTTTCATATCTTCTGGTTACGAAAACATCCATTCCCTACTGTTACTCCCAGAGATAAGCCTTCCTTAAAGTAACAAACTATGCAGCAAAGTGTTGCTGAGCTCCAGGCTAGGAGTGTAGGATGAGCACAGGATTCACCCACATATCCAAGCTGTTCTCAGCAGAACAAGGGAATCCCTCTGCAGTTCTAAAAGACTATTCTGCCCACCAAAAATCTGACAATAATTCATTTTCCCTTTTTGCTTTTATAATGCATTAGACCATGACAGCATGATAAATCTCATTAAAAATGCTTAGCAGTTTTGCTGACGGATGTCACAAAATCTATCTACTGTACATAAGGAAATGTGATATCCTCTGTTTCGCCAGCTCCTGAAATCCATTTAAATACTAGATATCAGTTTCTGTTCCTTAAACAACAAAGATCTGGGGGAAAAATATTTGGAAATATATGTTTTCCAAATATTTTTCCCAAACAGTGCCTGTTCCTGTACCAGGAGGTTACTGCACCTGTGCGTGAGACTTCATAAGCTGTGGCACATCTTTGTGATTTGGACAAATGCATCCAGATGTCTGCTTTTAACTTCAACATGTTTTAAGCTATTATTACCCTTTCCAAAATATTGTCCCAGTAGTCACGCTACCACCTGTGGAGTCAGAGATGAAAAGACTTTCTAAGGTCACCAGTTAACTGTCAAGTATGTTTAGAGCTGGAGAATTACAGACATGGAAGAGAGACTTAGCTTGCTGACACAGCGATCAGCCAGCTCAGTTATTCAGCTGACATGATGAACAGACACACACGCTCTCTAAAGACAAGGGCCAAAGTCAATACGGGCACCTTGCCCACTACGGCAAATTTTTCTTACCAGGACAGGCAGGACAGTAAAAGTGCAAAGAAAACTAATATTGAACAATTTAATGTTCAAAAGCATAACAAATATTGTCCTCACAAAAAATCACCAAATGAGTTTTATAGCCTCAGTGCCATTGCTCCTTAACAGATACACAGCATTTAGTAAGATTCTCTAAAAGGAAAAAAAACCTGACTTTATCAGAGCTCTATAATGTTAGTAGTGAGCAATATTTCCGTGCAAGACAAAATATTATTTTGTTTTTCAGATTAACTTCACTGTGCACATTATAAGATGATTAATTGTGCTCTTCACCTTGGGCACCAGATCCAGGTGAAAATATTTTAATTAATACCATGCAGTTCCCCAAGGTGCACTGACTGGGATTCAGTTTGCCTGCATCAGGCATATAATTTCTATCTGCTTTGTAGGGGTCTGGTAAATCAGCCTTACTAATGCGAGTTCCATAGACAACCCACAGATAAAGGCAGGTACCTTGAAGAACGATCAGGAAGTTCAGGACTTCAGGTATTTGGACAGAATCTTGGCCTAAAGGCTTTAAATATGCATCTCCACTGACTAGAAAGGTACTTCAGCATTTATTTTAGGGAAGTTGCTTCACCATTTGTCGATTAATAATCTGCATTAGGAGGACTAAGCCAAACACTCTGTAGCCAGCTCTAACAGTTCTGTAATGTATTTAAGACAACTTGCTTTTTACTTCAATTCTTAAGCTATAAAAGTCACATGAATAGATCAAAAACTCACATTCCTTTTCAGTCATTAAATTTCCGTACTCCATATTAAGAGGGAATGTGCAATGCTATAATGTCTCAAAAGATCAGAAGTCAAAGAGCAAATATTTTAATTGTCAGTGCTACAAATCCTAAACTTAAACATGAAAAATTTTGAGCAGAACCTTAACTCAAAAAGCCCCAAAGTGTCCACTTTTGAACTCTTCTTACTTTTGTCCTCAGTTGTAGAATCACAGAAAGGTTTGTGTGGGAACGGACATTTAAAGATCATATAGTTATTACTGCTGTGGACAAGGACGTTATCCATGTTAGGTACATGGAAGTGAGATACAGAGCCTAGAATATGAGCATCATCTGGTTATAGATCCAAGGTGAAAGTCACCCACTTTAGACAAAAGTGATGCAATAGTATTATTTTTTTTCTCATTTTCAAATAAACCATTTTCTCTTAAAACTGTGCTCAGTTAACCCAAAAAGCTTTACAGGAAAGCTACCTATGTTTTTTAATTTAACTTCAGAATTTGCTGCAAGTACTCTGCACAGTTCAATGCAGGACATGACACAGCCATTTAAGATAATGCCTTTTGGGCTAATTCCATTACAAGCATCCAGGAGATATTGTGAAGAGATCTATCTGATCTGTTCCACTGCCCAACACCATCTGCCCTTGCCTGACTGCAATAGCTGTCTTGAGCTGTCTCTAGGCAATTCTGCTATGGAACAAGGCATCAGACACTTCCTCTCAGTATCCTGCTGTGCTTTGAGATGGGCAGTCTTCCTTCTTCTGCCATGTTTCAGTAGTTTCTTTCAACACATAAAATATCCTCCAGGGTAACCTAGTCCATCAAGTCACCTATTAATGCTCCAGTCCTAATACTGAGAAGGGATTTCCTGCAACAGAGATGCTCTTTGCAATGTTAGATAAGCTTGCCATCCAAACTCATAAGTCTGTCACTATGCTTTCTAGAAAAGGGACCAATCCACTCATACATGGGCACACTGCCATCTTAACAGACGGCATGAATGAAGGCATTCGTGAGCCTGTGTACACCACAGCCACCATGTACCACTGTTCGAAACATGATTCACAGCTCAGAGTATCTGCTTAAATATTAGTGAATGCACAACTCATAATCCAATCCTGTACTACCACAAATATTTCCGATGCAACTACACCAAACATTTTAGAGGTATAGTAACAGCTGACTATGTACTTAGGCTAATTACATAAGAACACTTCCTTCAATCTCCATCCCATTTTTTCAAACCACATGTGCTTTTTAAGCCATAACATTTTATTCTAATAGGCCTATGGACACACAATACCATCAAACCCTGTTATCCTTGCAAATCTCACAATTTTAAAGCAGAGTTGTGCTGGATCATTCGCTCAATGCCTCTATAAAGCACACAGTTGCTGCAGGAAACCACAATAACTACTCAGTAGGTTTTATTCCTGCCTCTGAATTGGAACTGAATCAACTCCCCAGTACACAGTACTGGAAGCACTCTGCTGCTGGGGGCAGTGCATTTCAAATAAGATGTATGTCAAAGTCAAAATACTTACGGCCATCTACAATCTTCTGGGTTTCTTCAGAAAAGAAGACAAGTTTTTCCTAACCACCCACACAAATTCCAGACTGAAATTTTGCCTAATGAAATCCTCTTTTCCC